TTTTTTTTTTTTTTTTTCATATGTAGACATAGTTGAGGTGGAAGCAATGGGTTAAGTGGAACTCACAAAATCCGCCCAAAACTCACCCCTGCATGATTTCTCGAGGAGACGAAAAGGAAAGAAGGTGCGGCTGCTTTGGACCAGCAACCACATGTAATAGGAATAAGTTGAATTTGATGCAACGCCACCTTAAGGTAAAAGGCATGAAAATATTAAACTCAGTAATGTGTGTTGCTTGAGCTGTATGATATCTTAAGTTCCTTTGCATTTACTAATGTAAAGTTCGGCACCTTTTCAGAGACTCAGCTATTCATAATCTTGCCATATTTTGAAGTTAAAAAAATACCTGGAAGAAAAGGTGGCTTGCTTGCTCTGTTGTTTTACTATTGTGGATAACTAAAAACTAAGCAAAAATTTGTAAATAGCTCTGGGAGGACAGCAACTGCAACTAACAAGAAATATGAAAAGGTACCTCAATCAAGGAAGTCATGATAATATTTCCTTAAAAGGCACAATTACAAGGATGATACAATCGGGAAATGCTTATTACATCAGCTTCGGGCTGCCTCTCCAGGTGATAGTCAAAATTAAACATTTTCTCAAGGCAAGACACAATTCTTGAGACTTAGAATCAAAATATCTTGACGTTTACTCTAAAAACTACAAAAAGGCTTATCCCGGTTGTATGTAATGTGCATCATAATGGAAGGCCTTTTTCATTGCTCATTCTCGGACTTGACCTCTGGACATACAGCAGATTCGATCTTCACTTTACAATCAGTCGCTGGTGCTGGTGGGTTCCCATCAGCGTTCTTACTCTTCACTTTCTTCTTAGCTTGCTTTTTTGCTGCATATCAATCAAATACATTAGTCAACTAATTACCTCTAACGCAAGTAGAACAGCTAAAAGAGAAGGGGTATAATCATCACCTAGTCTCCTTTTAGCTTCAGATTTAGCAAAGAAATCCCTCCATTCATCTGTAAGGACAAACATGGGCTCGTCCTCTTCATCTTCTAAATCCTGGTCTTCGTCTTGCATCATTCTTCAGATGAAAAGCGACAGAACTAGTTAAAAACTACAGGGTGAAACTAAAAGCCTTGAAATTGACAGCTCTAAGACAACATTAACATCTCAAAATCGAAGTTCTAAATGGATACAAGAAAGGGATCGTGCCACTGATGCCAGTGAGGTTTAGGCTCATTGTCTACAACACCTACTTGATTCAAAAAACCTTCACCCCTTTTTCATGAATAAAACTGAAGACACAGAAAAGTTGGATCAGGTAGTACTTCTCAGTGTTTAGGATGGACAAACTCCCCTTCTTCAAGATTTTCTTAAGATAACAGAGGTTTGAACAGATATAACTATTCGGCAGCATAGTTTACACACATGCACCTCTTGCTTGATAGTCAATCACCATATTCAGCCCAAATCAACTCAAGATTACCATATGCAGCCACCCTGAGCATGTGCAATTCTGAAGTTGATAGAACTTTTTGAAACTTAGAATGGACTTTAAGATGTTCTATTAAGGGGAGGAGAAAATTAAGTTCGCTTGGAGATGGCTGCATTCTGTAGGACGATGTAGGACTCCAGGAGAGTTTATACATAAAGAAGAATGATTTAGCGGGTGATAGAGCGGATGTGGTCCTGAGCCAAGAAATTGGGTATGGGAGTGGAAAGGGACAAGTGGAAAGACTCTTCAGGACAATGGAAGAGGAACGGGGGGAAGCCAGAGGGGGAAGACAGCAAGCACAGTTTGAAGGCAGACGTGTGATGTATATGGCTGGAGGGAGCAGTTGATGCTCCTACATATCTCCTCTTTTTTCATCTGAGATCTCCACAAAAACAAACTGTTTGTTGCATCTAACTGCTCTCTAACTGACATTAGCTACTGAGGTTAAAAAAAAGAAGATAATAGTACAAAATAGTGCACCATCAAAAGGTTAACATCCTGCACCCTAGGGTGGCAGAGGTTCTCTGTCAGTGGGTAAGCAAACATAAGCTTATGATAACATTAACTAACAGAAGATTATAGTTCTTTTCTTGCTTATTAGGAAAAAAAAAAAAGAATCAGAAAGAGTGAGTACTTATGTTAGATGATCAAATTTGCACATCGACGAACATTTAAGTCACCTACATGTATTGTTACAATACCATCACTATCACTGAAGCACCAGTTAATTACAGCTGCAAAAATATTGGTTCTTCCCATACACTAGTAGAAAAATTCCATCTAAGTTACCTAAATGTATTGTTACATTACCATTACTATCACTGAAGCACCACTTAATTGCAGCTGCAAAAAAAAATTGGTCCTTCCCATAGACTAGTAGAAAAATTCTATGTTTGGAGAAAAATGTATCCTACACTTGTAGACTCTTCCTACAAAAGGTGGCCATGAAACATCCCAACTTCCAGTCTCTAAACAACATTGCATATACAGTAGTACTCATGTTAAAACTTGTTTTATGCAGAAAATCATGATTAAAGCAGGTAAAAACACTAGGAATTAATAAATGGAATTATTATCAACAAATAAGGATGGCATTACAAAGATAATCACAAAATCGAAGTACAATGTGTAGCAACTACTGCTTCACGAGCACCATTAGAAACATGTAGACAACTTAATTTCATGCCGTGCAAAAAATTCAATCTTCAGATTAGCTCAATTTCAATCAGAGAACAACGAAGCATTAAATTCATCATTGAAGAACAAAAGGACATAGGGGAAAAGTTACCTCGAGTCAGTAAAATTTTCATTAGGCTCAGAAAGCTGCGGGTTCAAATCGTCCGGCAATATAGCAGGTGAAAAGTGTTCTGGGTTTTGCGGATAAGGAGTGAAAAGTGGGCATGTTGGAACATGATTGTTCCGTTGCAACATGTGGCTGTGTAATGGACAACTATGTAATATCTGAAAGTGATGATGATGATGATGATGATGATGATGATGATGATGATGATGAAGCGGATGATGACTCCATGGCTCGCCACCGACTGAAGAATTTTTCTCCATTAATGGCTTGGGGCTGTACTCCGCTCGGCTTCTTCCTTATTTCGGGTCATGGTATTGGGCCCCATGGCTGGGCTACACAATCAAAGCCCAAATATACTGGTAGAAATGACACTAGGCAGCCACTCTAAAGTGCTGCTATTTAAGAACTAGTCAGTGTGTCGTGTGTCCTCAATTTCAGTTTTTCAGTTCAAATTTTCCGGATTGTCCTGAAGTTAAGATTTATAGTTTAAAATTTTAGGACAAAATAAGTACTAATCTGTAAATAGTGTTAGTACATGTATTCAAAACCATAAAACTAGAAAATCGTTAGTTAAAGAAAATAAAACAGAAAAAATTTCAAGCCCACAATTTCCTTGTATGTTCTTAAGGAATTTAATCCCCTGAGAATTTTCCCAAGGTTACAGATTAATTCCTCCCAGGATAGAACGGAATAACTATTCTGTGATAGCGGCACTTCAAATCACAGAACTTCGGCGAACTCAAATGGCGGAGCAAATCACCAAATATGCTTCGTTTTTTTAATTCAATCCATCCACCCAGGATTTCATCTCATGTGGTGGTGGGGGGGTTTGTCCTAGACCCCTACCTTGTATATTAATAACTCAAAGGAAAATTAGTACAACAAGGAGGGGGACATAAAACCTAACCTCCCTAGAACCTAGTTAATCTAAACCAACTAGGAACAATGCTGGAGCATAACCAACATTACGTTTTGCTTTTGAAAACCAATGAAGAATGCAGAAGATGAGGGGAGAGTCAATTGACCAAATCCGAAGCCGAAGCCGAGCCGAGTGAGCGACAATGATGACGGTGCGAGGCACTACCTCTTCTTAACTCTTTAAGAGCTAGAAGATGTGTTTCTCTATATAAGCACAAAGATTTTCTTTCCTTCTTCCAATGAGGGACAAAGTGCATTAGTAAAGTGAATTAATTCAAAATTTTATTTTCCTCCATTTCTTTTCCCGCTATTTTCCATTCACACCTCTTTTGTTATTACTAACAAAACCCAACAATCCCCCACATGAATGCGGAATGGCTATCTGAAATAAATATGCATGAAAAAAATTGTGTGATTCGCAAGTAAGGATTAATCGTATCTGGATAAGTATGTTTCCCTTTGAACTTTTCGTAGTGAACTTATGTCGGATATACTCGGTCAATCGGTAGATATAATATCTTTGAACCGCCGAACTTTGGTGTATGCCTAGACAATCATAAGTCACATAATCAACCCTTAAACCATCTTTGGTTCTCATTGTTGTGTTCTTTTCAACCATGAACAGCACCTGGTTCATAAGTGCTTAGAGAACTGGCCTTACAGAATTCTCCTTGAAGCAGCTTATACTTCACACTTACATAGGTGATTTCTAAACGTGTTATCCCGTAGATACACTATATGATATACCCCGTATCATCCTTAGAAACCATTAAAAAGCCCTAACACTTTATCCTTGGTACTAAACATTGTTTTCATCATGAGAATGGACCAAAATTTTATTTGACAATATTAAACCGTCACTAATGACTTTGTTTGATCTCCTTGAACCTAGATCTTGGTATCTCCAGTCTTCTAGGTAGAGTTACCGTCACAGTGACTTGTCCTCGGCCATAGCCCTATTCCCTTTCATGACTTTTCAACTGCCTCTCTAGGTAGGCCTTTTGTAAGCGAATCCGATACATTATCTTTTGACTTTACATAGTGTCACGACCCCAACCCCGGTCATGATGGCGCCCAACACACTGTTAGGCAAGCCCGACCATTCAACAACATTATCTCAAATCACCTAACAAAGCTACAGCAACTCTCAAAATTCCATTCCGGCTCTCGGATCAAAATCTCACCTATCAACCGGAATTTTCCAAAATACTAACTTTGCCAATTCAAGCCTAATTCTACACCGGGCCTCCAAAATTACTTCCGATCACACTCCTAAGTCACAATCATCCTTCGAAGCTAACCGAATTATCGGGATTCAAATCTGATCCCTCTAACACATAAGTCAACGTCCAGTTGACTTTTCCAAAACAAATCTTCCTTAAAGAGACTAAGTGTCTCATTTCCTACTAAAACAAATCCAAATCAACTCGTTCACACCCAACACTGATAATGAAGCATAAAGAAATAGGAAATGGGAAAAACGGGGCGGTAACTCACGAGACGACGGGTCGGGTCGTCACATCCTCTCCAACTTAAACAAACGCTCGTCCTCGAGCGTACCCAGAGTTGTCCTAGAAGCCAACCAATAGC